TCTGCTCCTTCTATCTTCCTTTTCTCGCTGCTCCTTGCGACTCTGCCTTGGAGTCCCGTGTTGCTGCCCCACCCTTCCCGACCCCCTCCCTTCTTTTCCCTCCATACCTTTCCCTGCACCCACCTCCCCGCACACCCCTTATCCGTCTACCCCGCTCCCTCCCTTCTCTCCTCTGCACCCACCCAATCTCTTCCCAACCTCTACACCCACCCATCTACCCTGCTCCCTCCCTCTCTACGCACATTCCTGCCTCCCTGGCTTGAAATAGAACCCAACAATTCCAACAATTCCACACACCATGGCTTGAAACAGAACCCAGCAAATCCAAATCTAAATCTAAATCCCTCTCTGCAAAAATATCCCTAAACCAACCCAAAACATGTGACATCCCATCCCCAAAATTAGTATTTTATTTTATTCTTGACATATTTCGGAGATTTAATTGAAACTAGTTCGTTAATTCTCCAAATTTGAGAAAATCAAAGTGAGGGATACCTTAGTCATTTCTAATTTTCTCAACCTTTTCGGTCAACTCTTGAGTTGGTTAGGTAGAGTTCGATTCCATGAGCGCATATGCGTAAATGGATCTTAATTCCGAATCAGAACGGAGAAGTTAGAGTCGTTTGAAGTTGGTGGTATTTTGGTAATTTTACCAAAATGCTATAATTGGAGTGAAACCTCCAGAAAAGGGGGAGGTTTTTGGAAAAATGGGAAAAGGGCTGCTGCTCACCCATTTTAGGGGCTAATTGGACCCGTTAACCCACAAACTTAACCCGTTTGTATCTCCTTCATACGAGCTCCGTTTTGGGTGATCTTGGTGTCCATGGAAAGCTCTTGATGAGCCCTACATCTTTGTAGTGTTAGATTTCCCATTTTCTTTTCCATCTTTTCAGTTCGAAGCCACAAAGCCCATGACTTTTCTAGCGGTTTTATCACTTTTCCAGTGATTCCGGCAGCCATTTCCTTCGAGTGAGGTATGAAATTTCATCTACTCTTCATAATCTTCGAGTTGGTATGCTTAGTTTATGCTTTCGTATTCATTTTAGAGTTGGGTGTTTAGAACCCTAGAAATCCGGTATTCTCCGGTGAATTTGGACGGTTTCCGGTTAGAATTTATCATTGGCCTAGTTGTGAAAAGTGTTTCCCTTGTTGAGCTCTAACTACCACATAAATTTGAGCTCATCTAGTTAATATTGAAAATTCTGGGTTTCTAAACCCTCCACCTTGGCTACCACCATGTGTGGCGGTGCAAGGGACCATCCACGATTGTTATCTAAGTACCAAATACCTTCTAGTGACCCTATGAACCTATGTCTAGCTCGGTTTCTCGAAATTCAATTGTTTGGTGTGGTGATCAAAATGGACCACCACTTATTTGTGTGATTGACGGCAATCCGATTGTTGGATCATCGTACAATTTTTTGAGCACCCTAGTTATCAGTTGTTGGACCTTTGAGAACTTACGGATTAGAAATCCGATGTGTGGACCTTCTGGATTGAATAACGTTAGATTGTTGACCTTAATGCACCTACCTTATCAACGGTTGACGTTCTAGTCAACATGCTCTACTCTAGAGTGTCGTTTATCTCTAGTTTGTTGTTGAGCCTTGATGGAGCTTAGTTGGCTCATCATGATGACCTTTCGTTCCTAGTTGATGTGTGTCTCATTATATGTATTTGTGGCACCATATTGAGTTATACTTATTTATTAAATGTGCTTTCTATTGATGTGTTATTTTTATTTCTGGCCATCGATCTATTTTTATTAAGTATGATTTGACTTGTGCATTGGAAATATGGTTTGTATGGTATGATTGGATTGTTGTGATGAAATGTGAGGGCTAGTAGCAGACCGTTAACCTATTGGCATGGGGTTTGTTGCTTTGAAACATGTTTCACCCCTCGAGTCATTATTTAATTTTTTATTTTGGTGAGTCTTTGTAACTTGAGTAACCTAACTTGATCCATGTCATGTTTCATTGATTGTTGTTATACATTTTACCCTGCGATTCCGTTGAGTGATGATCCGAAATCATATACTGGTATGGATTCTGTTGCATGGTGGTCTGGAATCCCTTCTACTCTGCGATTCCGTTGAGATGGTCTGGAATCGTATCCTGGTTTGGATTTTGTTGAGTGATGGTCCGGAAGCCCTTCTACTTCGCAATTCCGTTGAGTGATAGTTCAAAATTATATCCTGGTTTGGATTCCGTTGAGTGATGATTCGGAATCCCCTTGGGTGTCTTAGTTTCGTTGGGTGGTCCGAAATCCCCTTTTTCCAGAGATGTAGTCTTCGGCCGAACTGCGTTCCTTTAGCCCTAGTTTTTAATGTATATATGAACGATGGTTTTTGGGAATCTTGTGGTTTGAATTGGAAAAACAGTTGGATGTTTGAGTAACTTCTACGGAGTTTTCAACGACTTGATTATAATTCCATAAAGTATGATTCTATACTTGATATTTATAGATTGTGATCGTTGGTTTATTTTTATTGAATATCACATACTTGTATTATTGTCGCTCACCTGAGCCTTGCAGCTCATATGAGTGCCTGATTTGCCAGCGTACCATTCCTATAATGTAAGCATTGATTTTACATGTGACATGTCTAGGTAGATTATGAGAAACCGCTTGATATTTTGGTTCCGATGAGTGGTCTAGAAACCGATGTTGTTGGATTCCATTGAGTGGTCCGGAATCCTTGCTCTTGTTCATTTCTGTAAGGTTATCTTAGAATCCTAAATTCGAGTGGATGGGAATTACCCACAATAGATATTGTGAATATAAATTAGAATTACCATGTTTATTATTCATAATCCAAGTGGGGAATTATATAGAGTTCCTTGGTTATATTCGTGAAATGTTTTGTTATCACATTGTTTGATTAACGTAATTAAATGCTAAGATTGTGCATCTTTGATTCACGAATTGATTAATTGACGGGATTGTGGAATGATGCTAGATATGAGTGTTGTTATTATGATTATTTTAGTTGACTAATGTTTCTAGAGAATAATATTGTGCATTCTTAATTCTTTAATATGTTACACACTATGAATTGTGATTTTATGTGGGAAACGTGATGATTTATGTGATGGATGAAGTGGAAATGTTATTCGTCATGTGAGATTATTATGTTGGATATCATTGTTATTGTTATGATTAGACTTGTTGATAAATATGGCAAGAGAATATGATTGTACTTCGTCGTTTGTTCTTTGAAATATTGCATGGAATGCATTGTGGTATTTTGTTGGGAGGTAACGACTTATGTGATGAATGTTCGAATGTAGTGAAGTAATGAACTACGAATGGCTTGATCCCTTTTTAGGGTACGTAAGCAGTCTAACGAGGATGTTAGATACAACCATAAAGTCTATGAGGAATTATTACGCAGTTGGATCTTAAGTTATGTTTTGCCTTTTTTCAGAGGCGGGGTATGTTAGAGATGGGTATTTGGTGACATCAAGTGTCGATCCTGGACGTATGTCGAGATTGGGGCGTGACAAAACCCATCAACTTTCTGCCCGCCAAATCCAAATCTAAATTAAGCAGTGATGTGGTTTGTCCCGCGAGTCTACACTTTTCCGAGATCTCCGACCGCCAACGGAACTAGGTTTGTTTTTTGGGTGACAAAGGGTCTGATGTCCATCATCTTCAGCACCTCGATGACGTTTCTGACCATCAACATCCTCAGCTTGTACGGGCTGTATATGATGGCGAAGGTGTGCAATCCAGGCCACCACAAGTTGGTGAAGCTGGTTGTGCTTGGGATTTGGCAACTGTGGTCGAAGTAGGAGTCGTGGTGGTGGGAGCTCGGGAACAGGGGAGCGACTTGCAGACAAAACCCTAACTATTTTTTTCTAGCTAATTTGTTTCAGAAGAACACATATTTGTTTTTAATTTTTAATTTTTTTTTAAAAGGAAGGGTAGATGGGTGCAGAAGAGAGGGAGCGGGGTAGATGGGTGGGTGTGCAAGGAGGTGGGTGCAGGGAAAAGAAGGGAGGGAGGAGGTGGGAAGGGGTCGGGAAAGGTGGGGCAGGATGCCCAAAAAAAATCCATGTGAACCCCTCTGAAGAAAAGAAAGAAGAAGAAGAAGAAGAAGAAGAAAAATTCCACATGGATCCCTTAATGACACGTGGCACCCAGTCATTATCCACATGGACGCCACATCATCACTTAACGGGAGAATTAACAATTTGACTAACGGATGTATGAGATTGTTCTAAAATTTACACTTTAGGTATGACTCTAGGACGAAAAAAACTTGATGTACCAAATGTTAAAAACCATAAAACATGAGGGTAGTAAACAGAGTTTAACCCTTAAATTTAACACAAATGAAATGTCGAATCGGGGGAGATTAGCCAAATCAATGATGAAATGTGATTGATTTATTTGATCTAAATCGAAGATTATTTGATGAAATCAAATCACGAATCAAGCCCAAATTAAGTCCAAATCAATTTTGGTTCTTTCGTCAATTAATCAAGACCAAATCAAGCCTCAATCAAGACTTGGAGATCCTATAAATATGAGGCTCCAAGACAAATAAAGGCCCTATCTCAGAAACACATTCTCACACTCAAACTCCCAAACACTCTACACACTTAGAAGACTCAGAAAACTCTCTACATTCTTTGCCATACTCACGAAGAACCATCAACCACCAAAACACATGTCGGTTCCTCCATCACCACAAGCCAAATCCTTACGCCATGACGAATTCGAGATCAAGTCACTTCGACCTTCGGATCAACAACTCTACACATACATTCTACAACCTTGGAGATTGAATCAGACAATCAAAACTTTGTATCAGAGATTATAATGCCTAACTTTTATTAATACAAATTATCACTTTGTACATGTGTTCTTATTTCATATGTCGCTGAAAATTCGCGTTTATAGTTGCAAAACAAGGTTTATGGGCTTAAAAGTTGCTATAGAGAAAGATGGTCAAACCTCAAAAGCATCAATTTTTAAGTGATTATAGTAGGTGACCGAAAAGTTTGTTAAAACTTGAATTCACTAATAAGATCAGCATACAAATGGACTTAAAACATAATTTTCTTTTTTCTCTCCAATACGGAAAAGATTACATATGGACTAAAAGCAAAAGACCCACCTAGCTACTTTGCCTCCAACAAGCTTAAACAAAAGTGACTAGATGAATCCCAACTTGGGATTTCCCTCCCTTTTGTTCAAACACTGTGGATCTCTCCACTACTTAATTCCTACTAGAGCTACCCAATTAATTAATTATTATTATCCTTCAACTTCTCCTTGGGAGAATTTCATTAGATTCATAGAAACTTTTTTTTTTTTTTTTTTTTTTTTTTTTTTTTTTTTGCTATGGATATATAATTATTAATATTAATTTTTTTTCTCTAGATATTCATGTCCAAAGTGGTTCCCACAATGAGCCTAGAGTGGTGGAATCATCAAGGAAGCCTAAGTTGGTCTGGTTGCCGCCGTGAGGATTGGTGGCGACGAAGTTGTGATCAAGTGATTGTGGAGGAGATCCTTGCTCGGAATTAGGGTGCGACATTTCCATGCAAATCAGAGCCACAAGGTTGGTTTGCTGGCATTGCATGTTGACAAGCTCAGCCTGTGCCTTGGCCAGTTGTGCCTGCAGCTCATTCACTTGCTTTTGCAAGTGGCAGATTGCTCCAGCACACCCATAAACTGGGTCTCTAATTCTTGCACTTGCCTCATAAACCATGCTGCTCACTGCATCGGCTCGTTGAGATTCTGGAAGTTCCTGTTAAAAAAATTGCATGCTCCTTTTAGTTTATACATATGTTTACAATTAAAAATGGGGTATCCACAAATTTAATAAATAAAAAACTTTTTTCTCAACTCTCTTGTATGAGGTGAAATTCATGATAATGTGGGACAATACATGATCCACCTCATAAAGAAAAACTTGTATAAGAGCAGCCGGATCACGTATACTATCCGACTGCTCTCATAAAAACACAACCCCTTGGATTTAGTTGCCATATGCTAAAGATTTCCTACACCTCAAAACGTTAAAGGAATAGTGACATATAGAATATTGATTTGTTGTTAATTGTGAAATTCTTTCTTTTAGCAGTTTTTTCTTCCTTGTTAGGTTGCTATCAGAATAATTTAGTCAGAGTAGTTGATTTCCATTTGGTACGTCTGTCTACGTATGTGTGTGAACAACCCCTAGACTTTTCAAATATGGATGCAAACTAACATAATAGTATTTCATGAAAAATGAACTACATATAATATGTTTATGTTGTCAGATTATAAATATAAATTACATATTTAAATAAGAATAATTTTCTCTCTAAATTTCCGGTCTAACTGTAAAACGTGAGTTTGAACCCTTCCGTATTTTGAAAATATTTCCAAGGTCTTAGACCTACTTTGACCACTACTCTTGTTTTTGGACATGATGAAGAAAAGTACCTGCAAGAACTTGATGATATTGCTTGCCCCAAAGACACGATGAGCTATAGTAAACTTGACTGGCTCAGAGGGAGGAAAGTAAGGGGCCAAAACGCACTTGTCTGCACATCTTCTCCTCAAGATTTTGCATGCAGCACAAGGACTTATAACAACTGGTGGAGATGGAGTGGGAGTTGGGGTTGGAGGAGACGATGGTGAAGAAGAAGGAGGAGGAGATTGAGACATAGTTGATGAAGTGGTTGTGTAATTTGTGTTCATTGTTTCAGTACTGCACTCCATTGCAGCTCAAGCTTGAAGCTTTGGTTTGGACTTGGTATATGCTGAGAGAGAGAGAGAGAGAGAGAGAGAGAGAGTGGTGAGCTGAGGTGAGGTGGGGTTTGCTTGAAGCACAAAGTGAGGGTATAAATAGGGAAAGTAAAGCTGGGTGAGGTATCATATGACGTCAGCTGTTCAATATTATTGTATTTAATTAGGCTGCGGCTTCTGCCGCCAATATAATGATAGAATCAAATTTTTCTTTCTAATTAAGCAGTTAGGTTTGTGTGCTACGTCATTAAAAATGTGAATTCCATATTTGTTATGTCATCATTTAACAATTGATTTAATAGATTATTTAATGAACATTGAAATAAAGTGACAAGTAAATATATGAAATCAACATATTTATATATTGTATGAGATTGTAATTAAACATAAATCTAATAGTGCAAAAAGTAAACCCCACTTTTTGTTTGCTTTTGGATTATTTGGAGGAAAATACTCGTGTGCACGTTTGAAAATCTCATCCTCTATAGGAGCACTTCCACACCATCCCCACCCCCCCCCCCCCTCCCCAAAAAAAAAACCCCACCCAAAATAAAATAAACCCACCCCATCCCACCCAATAGGCTGGCCCAAAATGGAGACCAGTTTTGAGCCCAGCATATAATGAACTGAGCAAGAGATCGACCTACATAACGCCAGACTGACGTCAGTCATACGAATTTCTTATTTTTGCCACTGGCGCGTGGGATACACGCGCGCGTTCCAGCATTAACAAAAAAAAATTGTCAGAATCTTACCGTGGACCACGTGTCCACTTTTGGGCTGTTGGATTTCAATCCAACAGTCCAGATTAATCAACTTAATAAAAAACTATTTAAAAAACATAAAAAAAAAAAGATTATATATATATATGTGTGTGTATGTGTGTATATATATATATATACCTAATCATTTTTCACAAAAATTGTACTTTCCAAAAATGACACGTGGAATGACAAGATTGGTTAAAAATTATATCCGAAATTAAAAATAAAATTATTTTTTAGTATTTTATAATAAAAAAAATAATATTTTAATACGAATTGACTAGACTCTTGCCTAGCTCATTTTTTAAGGGTGGAGAAGCACTTGGCTAATTATTATTCATTTGAATCAATTACTATTCATTTGGATGAATTAAATGAATTTTGGGCCAGCTCATTTTTTAAGGGTAGAGTTACTCTAAAAAAAACCCCAGTTTACTGTGGAGTTTAAAAATCAAAATTTGCCGCATACAAACAATTCAATAACCTCCAAAGTCCTTCAGACATATTAGTATTTTAAGAAATAAATAACTTAAAATTGATTTTGTATTTTTTGCATTTACACACTAAATCTTCAGTGCTAAGCACCAAAAGCCTTCTTTAGTGTTAAAATTGTTTAGTAATAAAGTGAATCAAATTTTACTTTATTTTTTTTGTTAATTAAAATATTGGGCGGTTGGGTTTAGTCAAATGGTTACAGAACAAATTAAGATTAAGAACTAATACAGAATGAAAATCAAGTCAACAAAAATAGGAAAAAAAAAAAAAGAAGCAAAGAGGCTTTTTATTTTTGTCACTTAGTACTACGGTCTGGTGGTATTTCTCTTCATTTGTAAGTGAGAAGTCCTAGGTTCGAATCTCGTAGATGGCGAATTTAATACCAAATTAGGTTACATATTGTGTGGCTTAACTCAACTTCTCCCCTCCCCTGTGTAAATATTTCTTTGTACTAACAATAAAAAAGAGGTTTTTTATTTCTAAAGCCCTCTCCTGGACTAGGATTGTCCTCTCTTCTTGCCGACGGCCGTTGTTTTCACATGCAACTTTTCTTCCAAACTAGCTAGTGTTTCTAGAATTTTGGCTTTAATATCTACTTTTCCTTACCCGGTCGAGCAATCAAATTTAAAGAACACGTAAGAGGCGGGGGAACGTGCTTTAAACTCAAACGTCATAAATAAAATTCTCACGGATACAAAATTTTAGGAAATTTATTAAGAAGTGTAGTTTGTGGATGAATGTACATATTTAAAGTTTGTGGATGTCTGATCTTCAATGGCTTTGATTTTTTTTTCATGTTTTTTCCTTGCATAAGTAGATGGCCGGCGATTAAGGAACAAGTAAGAGATGTAAGATGAATTTGAAACTCGGATGTCAAAGATTAAATCTTCACAGATGCAGAAATATTGGAATTTACTTAAAGACGCGTAATTTGTAGAGGAACTATATATATTCAAGGTCTAAATCAAGGTCTAAATCAAGCTCTTCTCTCCGATGGAAGAATTTTCTCCTTAGCCAAAATAGTCTCACAGGAATTTTTGAATTTTTGTTCTATCTCAACAAATTCTTTGATTATTGCCTACCTTTTCAAGTTCAACTTTTCTAATGGGAAAACTCGATCCCTCCCTTTCTGCTCCTCCCATTTTCTTGGACGTCAGTCGTATATACTATATGGTACTGTCATTTCAAAGAAAAATATACAATACACAAATAAGTCATATTTGCTGTAATAGTAAATAGGTTTGAATGGTAGTGATATATAGTTTTTGATTTGACATGATAAACACTGGCTAGGCTACCATCCATCACTAACAGTTTTTTTTTCTTTTCTTTTTTTTTTTCACGATTCACATTATTCTATCATACAATATGACTTTCACAAAGAGGACTTACATGAAATGAGTTCACCACCAAACAATATCCTCTATCCAATAATACATTACTATGTAAAAGTTTTTCTCAACATGACAATGACAATGTATTATTGAATTAGGATGCCACATAACGGTAAACATGTTACATATAAGTTGCTCTTGACTTTCACTAAAAACTATATATGAGAAAGAGGGAACAAGCTTATTAAAAAAACCTACAGTTTTTCCTTTCTTGTCTAGCATATAAAATTACAAATTGTGGTTAACCAAAACCTATATCGAGATGGTCCACACTTGAACTAATTATCATTTAGCTTTTTTCAGGGTGACATGTGGTAGAGATGAAGATAAACGAGTTAAAAAAGTAGAGTTTATTTGGTGAGTGATTGTGCCTTATGAATACACTGAGACAGTGCTAGCTTTCTACTTCTCTAACCACCGCCTAATGACCTACTCATCTCGTTGAGAACGACCCAAGTATCACGATGTAGCTAATTAAGTGCTCATAAACCTCAAAAATCTTTAAGTAATGTGTGTTTTTCTTGATTTTTTCACGTAAACACGAGTAACGTTTGAGTCTTGCTTAAATTTTGTAAGTGTAAGAGAAGCAATCACTAATATAATCAGTATCTGAAGCAGTGAACCCACATTGTAATCAACTTATCTCAATAACTCTTTTTATTATTATTACAGGGAATGAATGATTCAAAACTATTACAATAATTTAGAATAGAGTGAAATTTCGAACTACGCATGAGTGGAAACTCAACACCCTATCTCAATAACTCTTCTTTTTTTAAAAAAAAAAAAAATTATTTCGAACGAATATGCGCGAAAGTATAAATCCAATAAAAAGGAGTAAGTTGGTTGATAAAATGTCTCTTTAGGAAAGGGCATTATTTAAGTTTGAAGAAAGGAATAGAGATAGGGTTGGGTATGGTTGGTAGGGAGCCGGTCAGCTCGTTGCACGCATGAAGTGAGAAAAACTCTGGTAATCTAAAGTCTTAAGCTGCCATTGACGATTGTGATCTCTTCATCTACGAGATATAAATAGTCATTTTAAATTAACATAATTCGTTTCTTAACCAAATAATTAGATTCTTTTTAAGGCTCTTAAATAATTAATATTTAAGTGACTCGTCAGTCTGCCAGTTCTTAATCTTCTACTTTGCAGTGGAAGCAGTTGGACTTGTGTTTGCTTTCATCCATCTCCATCTCCTCCACCTCACCCCACTAACAACTATATTTATTTTTTTCTCTTCAAGAGTCTTATGCGTGTGGACCTTAACATATTCCAACATGTACTTTTATATAGTTTGCTAGCCATTTGAACTGCCACACAAAGTCCGGATGAAAACAATGAGTTCAGACAAAGTCCGGATGGAAACAATTGAGTTCATATTAAGCTGGCATTAAGCCCATGCAGACCGTAAACGTAAGCGGATTTTTACTCCCATAAATTTGTGAAACATTGAATATTCAGCGTTGATCATTGACAAATCGTTTTCTTCTGCTAAGATAATGGACGCATGCTAGCTAGCTACTACATAATTTTGTCATATGTATGAGAGGAGTTTAAGGATATCATTTTGATTGCCATAATCTTAAGAATGAAAAAAGTATTGCGTATGTATCTGGTACAATGCGCGATGAGCTGATATATTATATCATATTTCACAAGAAATATAATTTGTGTAAATTTGATACACCACATCAGCATGCATGCTACGCAATATATAAGATACATAACTGAATAACAAGAGTAAGTATTTATCCCTCAAAATGGTAATTATGTAAAATATTGGTAGTAGATTTGGTTATGCACAAAATCAAACAAAAAGATACAGCCAAAATGTGATATGTAAGAAGCAATATGAAAACTCAGTGCTTTTTGTTCCGGTGGCTCAATGACAGAGCGGAAAGCAATCCTCCCCGCCATCCATAACTCTCTATCAAATCTCAATTTCATAAAGATTGTTTTGATTTCCATTAAGTGACATGGTACAAAAATATACCTCACCACGAAAATCTTTAGCGACAATGTATCAAAAAGCAAAGGCAAAGCAAAGCACTTCATGGATAATCTTGAAACGTGAGGCGATAGTTTCATGGAACTTAAAATTATTATAATGTTATATATATATACACATATATATATATATACTTTGTAAAACAATCAAGTAAGCATGCCAAGCAATCAAATATTTGGCTAGTATTTCTCTAATTCACATCGTATAGTCATAATAAACAAATAGAAACTAAGAAACATAAAATTAGCAATTTTCTTGAGGAATTGGATCCTTTCCCAGGCAAATCCTCGGGATCCTCCTAATTCATTAACACGGGTCGTTGAATTTTAATATAACGGCTACAAACAGAGAAATTCTTTTAAAATTATAATAATTATAACCGTTAGATCAAAATCTAACGGTCCATGTTATTGAGTCGAGAGGATCCCGAAGATTTACCTCAAAGAGGATCCAATTCCTTTTCTTGATAGGCCCATCGAAGAAAACGCCTAGGCTGGTCACAATACTAATTTTTTTTTTTTTTTTTTTTTTAACATTGAGTGATATAGATAAATGCATGCTACGACAATCCAACGGCTTGGATTGATTCTTGTCCAATCGAACGGTTGGCAAAAGTTAAGAACTTGGGAATAGGGGAAACCGGCTAACTCAATTGCAAGTAAAATTGGGGCCACTTTCTCTCTCATCTCTACTTCTGTTTCCTCTCTCTCTCTCTCATGTCTCTCTCTCTTTGCTTCTCTCGATCCCTCTTTTGCAGATGGGTCACAGACGTAATAGAGCACCACCAGCTTCGCCATCAGACTTCCACCACCGCCACTGACCACAGTAAAACCCATTGAAATCACCGACGACCAGCCTGTTCCCATGATTTTGTTTCCATTTTCCTTCAATCTTCCTCTCCAAGTTCAAATCTAATCGATCCAATTCCAGTAAAGTGGATGAGGAATTAAAGACAATCCTCTTCAATCTATCCGCTGGTGGCCGACCCGATCGGAGCCCACCGTCACCTCTACCCCAATTTGGTGGTGGGAAATACATGTGAGTTTCATCTTTGTTAGAAAGATGCATTCATGTTATAAAAGGAGAGTTATTTATAGAAAGCCATCTGTGTTTTTTTCTTACAAATTAATGTGTTATGGTATTGATGCTAATTTTCGATAAAATCTTTAAAAACGAGTTATAAATTGAGCATGTGGTACAATTACAATATTGACAAGGAAAACCAAACCTAAAAGTCTAGACTTCGCATAATTCTATTTTAATAAAACTATCGTTCTCTTTCAAAAACAAAATGTCCTACTTAATTAATAGTTTTTCTTCAATAGCACGTAGGTGATGAATTAGACAGAAAATGAATGAGTGAGATTAAAAATAAAAGATTTAATGAATAAGAAAATAAAATCAAATAGCTAAAACACTTATAACAGTTAGTATTACTACGTCAACTAAAATACCTGTAGTACTCGGTACTGCTACCTGGCCTTAAATCCACACCCTTAATTTGAGTTAGAAACACAGTGTATTATTGCCAAGGGGAAAATGTACTCCATTAGATTAGTCATGGCGGTCGTAAGAAGAATCTCCGTAGTGCACTTGTGCTATACGGCATTGGTAATTTGGGCATTCAATTAAACCTCATTTTCCTTGCTCTTCGTACATTGAATTATTTTAATTAGGTTGAATACTTCTTAAATGCAATTTCAACATGAACACTTTAATCATTTTGGGGGTTCTTTGACAACATCCGACGACCCAGATTAGTTTCATCCATGGACATTCCATGGGTAGGGTTTGCATGGTTAGGTTGCCGTGCTCTTGAAGGTAGGGCACCCAAAAATTGCTCATTGCATTTACGCCATGTGAACAATACAAATTTAGACCATGACCAAAAATTCTCTTGAGACTTGACCAAAAACAATCTTAAAATTTCAGTTGAGAGACAATCGAAGCTTGTAAACCTCATTAATATGCACAGGCTGTCACTGGGAGACCCACTAATTTTAAATTCCGAACTAAAATCAGTCAAACTCTTACAAAATAAAAGAATAAATTATAGTAATAGTCTCGTAATTTGAACTCAATTGGAACAATGATCTCTCTCATTGGTCCCTCAACTTTAATCAAACTGAAGAAATAGTCCATTAACTTTAATCCAATTGAATCAATGGTCCCTTAACTTTAACTCAATTGTAGCAATGATCATTCTAACATAACTCATTTTAACAAACTTCTGACGAAGTTGACGAAATTGACTATAGCTACACATTTCGATAAGTTGAGGGACCCCAATTGGAGCAATGGACATTCCAACATAACTTATTTTGACAAATTTCTAATGAAGTTGACAAAGAGGACCATAACTACACATTTTGATAAGTTGAGGGACCAATGGTAATGTATTTTTAGTTGAGGGACCATTGCTCTAATTTGATTAAAATTAAGGGACCCTTGTTACAATTTACTCAAAATAAAATTATTTATATTGCATTGCCTACCATTTCACATAGAAGAATAGATGGATAACGTGGCACCCATTTTAGTGTGCATGAAACACAAAGTGGTACGCCACACATTATTATCTTGAAAAAAAGAAAAACTTTTCTCCAATTGTATAATAACATTTTATGTATTGTCCCGTGTTTCGGCACACTGAAAATTTTCTCCTTCCTTTCAACTACCATATCAAAATGGTGTGCTTTCTATGCTTATATACATACGATTTTTGAATCTGAAGATTGGTTGGTGAAGGGAACAAGTACTTCCCGCCAGGAGAAGTAGAGTGAACTTCAATCAAGAAGGTTTTCACCCCCAAAGGGAGAAACACGAGGGAACAGTCCAGCCTATCCTTCCTTTGCTTGAATTGGACTAAAGACCTCGAGAACGCTTGCTGTGAAAAATTCACAAATTCGTTCACTTACCAACACTAGTTCATATCTTACCTTTGAATGCAAGCAATCACGACCTCCGGTATGTAAACATCTCTAAATAAGCCATTAAAAACTTATGATATGGCCATATATAGAATATACAGGCAGTACTATACCTAACAAACCTATAGATATATATTTTCTTTGTTACTTTCAGTTTTTAGTATTGGCATTCTATATTTCTATGGCTCGATAATTTACGAGAACTTCTTTCGATATATTTTGAAATATTCCAAGTCAAGTAGGCATGAAAATAAATTTCTACGTGTCAAAATATTAGAGGCTAGCATTACAGAAGATTTGAAGCCGTGGTTAGCCTGTCATTTCAGCCCTTTGGCGAATATGGCATAAGCAAAGCTATATTCCATCCTTAATTCAGTACTTACGGCCTAATAGTATTTCTCTTTACTTGTAAGATAGAAATCTTAGATTCGTTAATTCCCAAATACAAATTTGAACCACATTATTGCTAACTAATTATGAAGCTTTGCTCCACCTCCTCTTTTTTAGTATAGATAATACTGTTTGCTAAAAAAAAAAAACCGCGCCCATTATTCTTACCGTGAAAGAAAAGTTGGGTTTTACTTTTGAAAAACCGAACATAACCAAAACCGTTATATATTATAATTTGATTTGCCGCGCTTTTTCGGGGCAAAACCGGTCCAATCAAGACAGTGCCCATCACTAAGAAATGGAGTTAAGAAATGATTGAAAATTACGTAGTAGTAAGTGAAATGCCTTTTCAAAAACCATGTCTGGTGTCCTCAAAGTCTTTGGAGAATGTCCTAATTGACAATAACTCGGTTGAAGTAGGTTCGGTTGGGCTTGACCGCAGTGTACACAAGGATACAAATACAAAGTATTCCAATGCAGCTAAAGTCTCTGAACCGTTAAATATTATATCAAACAATCACTTCAGCAATTATACAACCAAGAAAATTAAGGCCATGAGCTCACACACCGGAAATGGATAAAGGAGTGAAGAATTCCAAGCATTTCTAAGTGCAAACATAACCAACAGCCTATGGCACTAGACTCCTTTCCCGGATCAGCTAAATTCAATATCGATTGACAGTGCCGAGAAAATGGCCGATTAGGTCATCTAGTTCTGGTCACTTTGGGTTGGGAAAGACTAATGGTTATGATGGAAACACATGACTGAGGACATGGCAGCGATAAATGTGTTATAACATAAGCGGACCAATAACAGATACAGAGAGATTTTTTTGGCAAAAACGAAGAAAAAAACAACCACAATCATTACATTTGGAAAAGTTTTAGGTAAAGGTTCTGTCTAGATGTCTTTTAAACACCCATGTCTTGTTTATCAACTAGGTTCATGACTGAAATGCTCAATCAGATATAAAAGAAAAACAAATTCTGCTGCTACACATATACCAAGTGTTACTAGCTCAAGAGAATTCCAAAAATGACCAAGGTCAGTTAACACACCCGTGACCAAAGAAACGTTAATGTGCCACGCCAAGAGCGTAAAATGTTTGATCAGAAGCGATGTGGTGGCCGATAGGGGGGCAGGGTAATGGTAAATCTATCCTCTCCTAAGAACCTGTCTCGGGTCTGAGCCTAGGCAGAAACACCAATATGATATGTCCAAAACTGGATTCCTGAAAACTGTGGCTGTTAACTACCGTTTCAAGATATAATGAAGCTACAGAAACAAGTAGAAGTTTGAATATATCTGAAGCACGATGTAGATAATATTCACTTTCTCATTAATGCAGAAGCTTTCTGATGATTTTGCTACGCTATAGAGCAGTTTGAAAAAGTATATGTCCGAGCAAGATAACATACAGCACAGAATAGCTATCCTACAAACAGACCATTATTGTACCACCATCGAACTAATCTATGATACACACACCAATGCCTTAAAATCCCACATTATAGCTATCCAAAATTTGTAATTAAAGCTTCCACATAAGGGGAGGGGAAAAAAATTGGATTTGGGAAAATTTTGGTAAAAATATTAACTCAACGACAACCTGTTCATAACAACATTAGAGGATACATATACTAGAGAGAAAATAAAAAGAGACGAAGAGGAAGCCCAACTGTTTACCGGACAATCTGGGTCAGCTCAGAGGGAGGAAGTGACTGACTGCAATGTTTTATCACTCCCAGCTTTGTTCTCATCCTCAAAGAAGTCCTGCAGTGCAATCATCTTAATAGTGCTAGACTTTAAGCTCTTTATTGCTTCTGCAGTTGACAAAGCTCCGGCAATAGTTGTTATTACTGGAATCTTGTAAGCAAGGCCCGACCTCCTCAGTTGCCGTCCATCAATCTGATCAAGTGCATCACCCGAACTTGTGATCACCATTAACTGGATTTGGCCATTAGCAACCATATCAGCGGCATGAGGCCGTCCTTCATGAAGTTTGAGCACTCGTTCCACTGGAAGTTTTGCTAATTCAAGAATATGTGCTGTCCCAGAAGTTGAAACAATCTTAAATCCAAGTCCCAAAAAGGCTTTGGCAATCTTTTCAAGATGAGGTTTGGTCATATCATTTAAGCTGAGGAACACAGTGCCAGTAAGTGGCAGCTTCTGCCCTGCAGAAATCTGAGCCTTGGCGAATGCAATGGGAAACTCGTAATCAATACCCATCACCTCCCCAGTACTACGCATCTCAGGCCCCAGCAACACATCACATCCTGGGAACTTCTCAAATGGAAGAACAGCTTCCTTTACTGATACATGTGCAGGAATGACCTCTTTTGTGAAATTTAGATCATGAAGAGACTTCCCAGACATGACAAGAGAAGCATATTTAGCCAATGGATGCCCAATCGCCTTGGACACAAAAGGGACAGTACGGGAAGCACGAGGGTTTGCCTCAAGTAAGAAAACGTCTCCAGACAAGGTAATTGCATACTGACAGTTCATCAGCCCACATACATTCAGCCTCCTAGCCAATTTTGTAGTCCATGTCCTAATTGTGTCCAAGCAAGAAGCAGGGATGGTTTTTGTTGGAATCGAGCAAGCAGAGTCACCAGAATGGACTCCAGCCTGTTCAATGTGCTCCATTATCCCACCAATGACAACGTTCCCCTGAGAGTCAGCAAGTGCATCGACATCAATCTCAATGGCATCAGATAGATACTTGTCAATCAACACAGGGCGCTCTGGGTCCACTTCAACAGCATTTTCGAGGTAGGTCGCAAGTTTTTTGTCGCTATATACAATCTCCATGGCTCGGCCACCCAATACATACGAAGGCCGGACAACAACTGGGTACCCGATGTCCTTAGCGATGGCAACAGCATCAGCTTCACTCCTGGCAATACCTCCTTTTGGTTGTTCAATCTTTAACTCATTAAGGATTGTATTGAACTTTTCCCTGTCCTCAGCATCATCTATGGAAGCCGGCGAAGTACCCCAAATGCGTACATGTCCATTCCCACTAGCACATTCAGGCTTGTTCTCATCTAGATACTGCTGAATAGGAAGAGACAGCTTCAGCGGTGTTTGACCTCCAAACTGCACAATGATACCATCAGGTCTTTCCAGATCAATTATATTCAGCACGTCTTCGACAGTCAGTGGCTCAAAATATAGACGGTCACTTGTGTCATAATCTGTGGATACCGTTTCAGGATTTGAATTCATCATAATTGTCTCATATCCTGCTTTCTGTAGAAGAGAAGGGAGAAGCAGCATATCAATAGAGGATTTAAGCAATTTACATGTCTTAAATGCATAGGCACCATCTATTCATCAAATATATAAACAGCAGGTAAACTTTTAGATTGGAACCTATGATTGCACAGGAGAAATATACGTAACAGCAGCCAATGTATAACCCTGTTTGCATGTATGTGCATTAATCACACAGGAGGAATTCCTTGTTCCATTAAGTTCATTGATGAAACATATGCACCAAATTTAATAGAACTATATTAGATAACAGATACATGATATTGCAACTCCAGATTTCTTATCAACTGCCACTGACAATGAAGTGTATCACACCCACCGCCCCCAAGTCTAAATCCCATTGGCATCTTGCTACAGCAATCCAATTGCAGTTTTGAAGACAAAAAGGTCTGACTGCTCAATTTGTAACTGCCTAATTCTGCGATCCTACTTGCCCAAAAATAGTGCATGATTCGTGAGTAGGATCTATCACTATCATGACTAATACATCTAAAACCAATTGCATTCAGCTAATGCAGCCCAGTAATTAAAAGTTAAAATATCTACGTGTTGCTTAGGAACATAGGCAAGTGGGCAATAAACATATCAGAGACAAACCTGAAGTGCAAAGGACGTATGGCAACAACAGTAGTCAAACTCGATCCCTTGACCGATTCGATTTGGTCCTCCACCTAAAATCAAAACCTTCTTACTTTGGGTGGGAGCTGATTCACACTCATAGTCATAGGAAGAGTACATGTAAGGAGTATTGGCCTCAAATTCTGCAGCACAAGTATCCACCCGCTTATATGATGGAGCAACACCTAGTGATAGTCTCTTCATCCTGACGTCTTTTTCAGAGGATTTAGTGGCAAAAGCTATCTGTTTGTCACTGAAACCTCTCTTTTTCACTTCGTAGAACTCATCCTTTGTTAAATCAGACAAGTTTCTTGCCAGAAGGTATTGCTCCACATCTACCAGCTCCTTAAGCTGTGTGAGGAACCATTTGTCAATGAAACTCAACTCATGAATATCATCGACCTTCATACCCCTCTTCATTGCAGCATATATGGCATGGATACGCTCTGGGTTAGGGACTCGGAGGCTATACTTCAATTGTTCCCAATCCCAGTCAAGCTCCTTAATTTTAGCACAGCCCCATCCAGAGAAACCACATTCCAAAGATCGAACTGCTTTCTGAAAAGACTCTTGAAACGTGCGACCCAGCGCCATTGACTCACCAACAGATTTCATTTGTGTAGTCAAAATTGGTTGTGAACCTGGAAATTTTTCAAATGCAAACCTGGGAATCTGTACGATTCAATACAACGTGAACAAGTAAGAAATGGCATACAAACCAGGTCTAAAAATGCATGGATAAACAGAAATGTATTTCTATCAATGTAATGAACAACGACAATGATTGATGACGTTCCTCCATGCATAAGTAATGGTGATTTAGCATATAATCCAGGAAGCTGATGAACAATGATTATCTAACATTTGAATAAAAAAAGCTTAAGCCCCATGATCCCGCCTAAGGTCTAACCATTGCATCATCGCTAACATGTGACTAAACAAGTATAAAGCACAACGTGTTTAATCAGTGTCTAATTAGAGTACTGTGTAAAGGGTAATGAAGAAGCACTTGCCTTGGTTACTACATAATCTATGGAAGGCTCAAAGCTAGCCGGGGTCTTCTTTGTAATGTCATTTGGTATCTGATCCAATGAATAGCCTACGGACAACTTGGCAGCCATTTTCGCAATGGGAAAGCCGGTAGCTTTGGATGCCAAAGCCGAGGAACGAGATACCCTCGGGTTCATTTCAATCACCATAACCTCACCATCAATGGGATTAACGGCAAACTGCACATTGGAACCGCCACATTCCACTCCAATCTCCCTTATGATAGCAATGGAATAGTCCCTCAGCCGCTGATACTCCTTATCCGTCAAAGTTTGAGCCGGCGCCACAGTGATAGAGTCCCCGGTATGAACCCCCATTGGGTCGATGTTCTCAATGGAGCATATAATCACCACATTGTCAGCCAAGTCCCTCATCACCTCAAGCTCATACTCCTTCCATCCCAACAACGACTTCTCCACCAAAACCTGAGACGTCACACTCGCAGCAATCCCTGCCTTACAAATGTCCTCAAATTCTTCTCTGTTATAAGCAATGCCACCTCCAGTCCCTCCCAAAGTAAACGCCGGCCTAATAATCAACGGAAACTCTCCAATTTTATTTGCAATTTCGATACATTCATCCAGTGTCGTGGCAATCCCTGATGGCGGGGTTTTCACACCAATGTTCTTCATGGCCTGCTTGAACAAGTCCCGGTCCTCTGCTTTTTTGATGGCCTCCAGCTTTGCCCCAATCAATTCCACTCCGTATTTAGCCAGAGCCCCACTCTCGGCCAGCGCCACAGCCAAATTCAGCGCCGTCTGGCCGCCCATAGTTGGCAATAGAGCGTCGGGCCGCTCCTTCTCGAGAACCTGCTCGACCAGCTCGGGCGTCATCGGCGTAATGTAAGTCCTGTCGGCTAAGTCAGGGTCAGTCATGATCGTGGCCGGGTTGGAATTGATCAAAACGACCTCGTATCCATCCTCCTTCAGCGCCTTGCACGCCTGAGTCCCAGAGTAATCGAACTCGCAAGCTTGCCCTATCACAATCGGCCCGGCTCCGAGAATCAGAATCTTCTTAATGTCCGTCCTCTTCCCGAGCTTCGGCGGCGCCCCATCTTTCGCGGCAGCAGCCCCATCATTAACCGAATCGCACCGGACCGAGTTGACTCGGCGACAACTCGTACGGTTACTGAAAGTGGCGAGCTGCGACGGAAATGATCGGAGGCGCAGAGAAGGAACGGCAGCGTTTCGCGCTTCGAGCTTCTTGGAGTAGACGACGAAGCGGAAGCTGTTTGGTTTCGACGAATAAGGCTTGGAGTTGCCGAAGATTGAAAGCTTCGGGGAGAGAGCCTCGCTGTGGCTGAGGCAACGGTCCATTTCTTCTGTTGCCGGAAATAGAAGCTGTCACGGTGGAGGCTCAGAGGTTAGAGAGAGAGAGAGAGAGAGAGAGAGAGAGAGAGAGAGAGAGGGGAGAGAGAGGGAGATTGGGGAATTAGGGTTTTGGGATATCCAGTTTTGTTGTGCTATTGGAAGTGTGACACAGTGACTGGAGTTTCGGAGTATTTGTTCGTTCGCTGGTGAGGAAGGACAATGCAACAGGACAGTGTGGCGACGCCTGAGATTTTAGGGTTTTTGTTTTGTCAAAATGATATCAAATGCTTTTTGTTTTGCTTTTAAACTTTAATTGGATTTGGGCTTTGTCCAAGAATGGGCCCATAATCAGACGCTAGACACCCAACAATTACCCATTTGAGAAAGTGTGATCAAGTCGTTAAGTAATTCACGTGTTACAATATAGATATGGATGAGAGAGTTGACATGTCATCATATACTTAAACAATAATTTTAATAATTAAATAATCTAAAAACTGTATGGGGGTGTTTGTTTTTCTTCACTAAAGTTCACTGGACTAAGGGTTAATCCAATCCCGTGTTTGTTCCACATAGGTCTTAAGAGTTAATAAGACTAGCTCTCACTTGCCCCGACTAAAATAGGGCCTAACCAGTCTTAGCTAAGCCCCCCAAATACCATGGGATTGCTAATCCCGTCTCCAAACTTGCGTAGGACAATCCCATGCAGCAAGTCTTGTGAATTGTAAATCTGCAAGAATGCTTTTGGGCGACTCCGTTTGCCAACCCATGTCCAGATCTGAAACCTAGCACCACCCACTGCCTAAATCTCAACACCAAAATTCAAAAACATATATGCAAAACAATAACAACAACAATCCCAATAGCAAAATTCTTCCTTATTCTCGAAAATTCCCAGAAAATTTCTAAAATTTTTTCCTTTTCCCCAGAAAATTTCAAAAAGAATGGATAGAGAAAGGGAAAGAGTAGCTTTGGGACAAAGAGAAATGGAGAGGCAAAGAGGGAGGGGAGAGTAGCATGGGGACAATTTGCAAGAAAAATGATTTGAAGGATGTTGTGTTGCAGGAAAAAAGATGAAGAAAAGAAGTGATGGGGGACAAAACTAAAGAGGAAGAAAAGGGAAGAACTCTCTAGAGCGAGATGTGAAATTCTGCTTTAGAAATAAAAAAGAAAAAGCTTGATTTGTAATACAATATTATTGAATTAATAATAAAATATTATTAGATGTGTATTATATAATATAATAATATAGTTATTAATTATCTTGTTTTTTAGTTCGATACTGCACCAAACGCATCACTAAGTCAATCCAGCTTAGTTCAGTCTAAACCAATCTAGCTTAGTTAGTCCAGTCCGAGATAGTCTGATACAACAAATGCACCCTATATGTACAAGAGTTGTGTATGGACAGTTTGGAATTTGGTATCGAAGCTCAAACTCAAAACAGAAAGTAAAATCTTTACATAACGGCTATTATTCATAAGGAAAGACAAGTACATCGAAATCACGTGATAAGAATTAGTCACAAAAAGTAAAGTACATCATAATCACGTGATAAATGTGTTAAGATTAGGAGATAGAACAAGAGATACAATCATTACAAGACATATTTAGATTCTCTCCTCTATAGTGACATGTCGTGTGACAGAGAGATGGCAAAATATAAACCATTTCATCATTCAAATTTCAAACAATAAACCCTAAATTGCAACGCAATTCAAGAGATACAGTAAATTTATTAATCATAAACCCTAGTATGTAAGCCACGTATTAAATCTTTGCCATACATTGAAATACTACACCGAAGAGTTGTGGTCATTCACGGGACAAAAACTTAACCTATCTAATGTCCTAGATAGTAAACTCGTCTCTCTTTATATCTCTTTAACTGCATGAATAGTCAGACAATGATCATGCGACGAGAGAAATTGAGAGTGATATGTACAACATGTTACACGGGAGTCCCTCTACATCCACAGACCTTTTTTGGTCCGACGTTCATGCATCATTTAAAACACAAATTTTTAAATCATCATGCATTAATATTAGCAATGGGAATAGTTCAAAACAGTTGCCAACTAAAGGCAAAGAATACCCAACAGAATGGATCAGTTCACTAAATTCAACACTTCCATTCTCAAGAACCCAAATCCATAGAAGAAACACGGTTAATCTCTTTCTAGTTTTGTTTGGCTTCAATTTTCTTCTTCTGCCACAGTCGGTCTAAACCGCCGTCAGCATCTCCCCGAAGAATAAAAAGCGAGACAAAAACTCAGAAGCGGAACTAACAATCTTCGTAATTGCAACTGTCTGAATTAACTGGCATATAACCAAACCAGAGTGTAAATGCAGAGTAGAATTAGACAACTGCGTAAAACAGGCATGTCATGAAAAGTGTTGAAACGAGGGAAAGAAGGAGAACCTGAGCGCGGACGTAACCACATAGAGCGAAAGTGGAGAACTGGCGAGTGTAGATGTCATGTTCGTCCAGATGACCAACGTTAATCTGAACGGAGGCGTGGTCCTTTGATGTAATCAACCTGTTGGTCGCCGAGCTGTATCCACAGATCACATAATTTTAGGAGAATACTTCATATCAAAATCCCAAAGACAAACAATGATATCAATCAGAGTATTCATTACACCGGATTGAATGCCATTTCCTAGGAATGTAAAGCTCACTGATAACGCCCTCTTCGTTCTGCATCTTGGTCGACGAAACGACCACAACAGCAAAACAAAATCCAAATTCCCACAAAGCTAAATTGGTTGCTGAGAAAGATATCAAAAATTATGATTGTATGTGTAAACATTGTGTTCAAGAATCTAAACCGTCAAATTCTAAAGCTAAATTGTTTTTAAAAAAAAAAAAAAACAATCTAGCAAAATTACATATCCGAAAGTCGAAATGCATAGCAACGTTCCATCATAAATACAATAATCTCCACCTGTTCAAGCATAAATGTTTGTCACTTGATTAGAGTTTAGTATCTTGCAGACTATAAACTCCATACAAGTTGCAGAGACCCAAATGGCTACAATTTATGGGGCAATACGACCCACCATAAAATCAAACTTTTGAAGCTATAACGATAGTTGTGGAAGTATCATTCAAAAAATGCCAAGAGACATTGCCCCACACACACACATATATATATATATATATATATATATATGTATATTATAATGGAAAAAGAGTGCAAGGAACAAATGGCCTTGAGCTGTGCGGGCGTTTGGGGTCTGACGGGTTCTTGTTTCCACCCCCAAAATAATGCAACTAATCATTACAAATTTGACCCGAGAAGTCTTTGGTGTTTGTTTGACTTTCGTACTTAGTTTTGGTTTTGGGGTTTCATTTCTGCCGTGGACAACATGGTATTTTACTATTTGTAGGGGTGCAACTTAGGTTAGAATGTCAACATGGCTTCTAAACTAATTAACCTTCGTAATGGGTTTAGATTTATTTGGATTCGAGTTTAAATTGGGTTCAATTCGTCCGAGTTTGAGTGTTTCTCAGCTTTATTATCAAGCTAAATCTTGTAACTTCTTATTTTTAAGATTTTTGAAAAAGTAAACTAGTGTCTTACCTCTTGAACTATAATATCTGTAGGAGTTCACTTAAGTTATATTCAAGTGGTAAAATGACAATTTACTCTTTTTTAAAAGGTAAAACCAAATAACGTTAATACTAGTTAAAATTCAATTTCGTAAAATCATGTAACATTTAAAGTTCAATTCCACAAATCAATATCCACAAAGAAGTGAAACCAAAAAGTGTCGAAACCAATTGTTAAACCATTCCAAAAATACAATTAAACTACAAAGCTTCAATCAAAGAAAACTTAAAACGACAAAATCATTAATTGGGTTTCCAAACAAGTTGAGTAAGGACGGATTTGAGTTGATGTGATCAAAGTTGCACTTTTAAATATTCGTCTCTTAAATGTTAACAAAAAATTTGTTTGTATGCTCATGCAGGGTGACAAAAATCTTTTTTTTTTTTTTTTGGTCGTTTTTACTTCTCACACATTTTTTGTTAATTCTTATCCGTTGATCTTCTTTAATTCATTCAATTCGATGGCTGAAAATTAGAAGGGTGTGTGAGAAGTAAAAAAAGATGTGAATATCACCGAGTCGCAATAGGTGGGTTGCTAACTAACTATAAAAAAATGCCTAAAGAAAAATAAAATTAGACTAAGGTCCAGATCTAAGAAATAAAACCGCACTACAATATATAATCGGGTTTGTACTAATTTCTCACCTTAATTTATTAAAATTTGAACAAAACCAGTATGTTATTAGTAATTTACTTGCCTGCTGTTTGAATTTCAAACCAATTCAAATTAGACCATGCCCACCTCTAAGGTAATCTCCAACCGATCTGACCAGAGGGTCATAAAGTCGAAAATAACCTGAAATGACACGAAAACCTTCTCCAACTGAGAGTTAGGCCAAAGGGTTTGTGAGGGATGGCCATCTCCAGCCAGCCCACTTTTTTTTTTGGATAATTTTTTTTGACCAGCCCCTTTTTTTTTTTTTTGGACTATTTTTTTTTTTAAAAAAGTTTTTATTTTTTTCCTACACCATTTCTTATATATTTTTCACCATTCCATATTATCTTACCTCATTTCTAATAATCTTCCTATGTCCAAAAATCTTATTTTAATATGATAGTTTAATTTAATTAACTATATTAATTCAATTAAAATAATAAATTATGTTTGGTCTATGGTCCTATGGCCCCTCGGTTGAAGATGTTTTTTTTTTTCACAAGACTATGTTTGGCCTATGATCCTTTGGCCTCTTCGGTTGAAGATGGTATGAAATATGATCTGACACTGTTCATTAAAATATAATTTCATGAAGGGCTATGGGGTCAAAGAGAGCTCTCTGACCCTCTTTCGGTTGGAAATGACATAACCTCCTCTTATGAGTTACCCAACAAAACTGATAATCAAAGGAATAATCTCCTTAAATCCATGGAAATATTTCCCCTCCCTTGGAGGATGATCATTTGTTGAGGACAAACAATCAAAATTAGAGCTAATTGATTCCCATAGTGCAGTCTAGACAAATTAAAAAGCAATCGCAAACGTATTCACACAAAAATTCGATTCATCGACATATTAAACCGTATTTTGAGATGATGCACAAATAGAACCCCGATTTATATAAAATAGCCGGAGACAAATAAGCATGCGACAACACTGCCGGATAATTAGTGATAATATAAACAACAAAATTAAAGCAAATGCTTCCTAGTTGTGGTTGCTGTTCCCCCTCTAATCACATTACTTAAAGAAAAGAAAATCCAAAAAATATAAAAGAGGAAATACTGCCGACTTGAACGATGCAACGTGGTGTAATTGTCAAGCAAACAATATAAAATAAAATATTCAAATCCAAAAAAACAATCAAGAGGATTTTAACAAAACACTTCTGGTACTGTTTACTTTTAACGAAAATGATATTTTTACTCTAAAAGGTCATTTTTTTTATACTATTCACTTACAAAACCATCAACAAAACCAAATTTGTTCTTTGCGCTAAGGGCAATACGCATTGAACGAGACCATGTGCTATAATTGTTTCCAGTAAGTAGAGTGGAAACAAGATGCATCCTTGGATTATCAGAGTGATGAATATAGAAAGGGCTTGAGGGATCGTTCGACACCTCAACCGACTTGGAGTCTCCCAAGAAAAACCGAAGAAAAAAAACGAAGAGAAACCAAGGAAACAAAAAAAAGTCCTACGATCTTGGACTCTCTGGTACCATCTTAAGAATAGAATGGCAGTATGAAAAATCTTCTGTATTGATCACTGAAATATACAAGCTAGGCTAGAGTTCTTCTACAAACTATAAAGATACAATCACATCCTGTAATTCCTACAAATTAGCTAAGTAAATATTTTTACAAAGGGAAAGAATAAATCGTTGATAGTCAACGATCACCATGCTACCAAATAGGAAGGAAATCATTCATATCATAACAACTATAAAATCAAACTTTTGAAGCTATAACGACAGTTATGGAAGTATTATTCAAAAAATGCAAAGTTGCCATTTTAGAGCATATACTTTTGAAGCTGATACATACACACACACCCAAACAAGTATATATATAAAATGGAAAAGAGATTGCCGATAGGATTCATGAAGATTTAGAATGTACCAGAAGAGTAAGAGTTCACCTTTGGCAACCGTCACAGTGGAGGTGGTGGCGGCGGCTGCCTCAAGAGTGCAAGGAACAAATGGCCTTGAGCTGTGCGTGCGTTAGGGGTCTGACGGGTTCTCGTTTCCACCCCAAAATAATGCAACTGATCATTACAAATTTGACCCCAGAAGTTTTTGTTGTTTGTTTGACTTTCGTGATTTAGTTTTGGGGTTTCAGTTTTGCCATGGACAACATGGTATTTTACTATTTTTAGGGGTGCAACTTAGGTTGGAAAGCCAACCCAGTCTCTAAACCAACCTTCACAATGGGTTTAGGTTTTCTCGGGCTCGAGTTTAAATTGAGTTCAATTCACTCGAGTTCGGGTGTTTCTCAGTTTTTTTATCAAGGTAAATGTGGATGCAAATTTTGAAGGAAGATTTGTGAAAAATATGTTCATTTAAGCAACATCAATAGCATGCAATTAACAATTAAAGGCGGAATCATGCTTGTATGCACTTAAAAACAAAACATTTACCCATGAAATTCAAAGCCTAGTAGATAGGTGAACCAAGACTCAACTCAAACTTAAGTGAGTTGAGAAATCAATACCTTTGTAGATTCCTCTTTGCATAAGCAAAGGCTAATCACCCAAAGAGAGGGCCTTCATTTCTTGCATCTTAGATCCATGGATTTGGATGGATGAAAAGGTTTCTCCAAGTTCCCAAAATTGAGAACCTCTAATGATTCATCACCAAGGCATAATGAAGAAGAAATGAGTGACCTTGGAGGAGTTTGATTGCTAGATGATCCCTCCAAGGTGGCCGAAATTTTTAGAGAGAAAGGAGAGCTTGTGTTCTCATCCTTTCCCCAAAAACAACCCTTTGTAACCCTAAGGATGAAATGGCTATAAAGATGTCTTTATACCACCTCACAATGGAGTGGCAAACTTGCAATTAAGCCAAGTTCACTACCCTCCTCTAAATGGCCGGCCATATGGGATTTATTGGGCTATTTGGGCCTTTGTGAATCATTATTCATTAAGTTGTCATACAACTTAAGTCAATGGACTTGACGTTCGAAGCCCATTGGGCCTTAAGGTCCAAAACTATCCCGAGGTCTTCAACGAACTTATTCGTTTGATTAATAATCATATTAATTAATCCTTGCCATAAATAATTAAACCATTTAATTATTCTTACTCATCTCCGTTGAATCTTCAATCTCTGCCTTACACGGTGTACGATCCATTAGGTTCCTTTTAGCGAGGCAGTGGGCGATTCAAACTCTTTCAAATCGATTGTGAATTGAAACTCACTTTCAATTCTCCCGTTAGTGATAATACACTTTTAGGGCTTCCACAAAACATGGTTGACGCCTAGCAGCATGTCATGGTTACCCAAGCTAATCAGAAGAGGTGGAGAACCTATTCAGTTTTAGGATTACAAATGCAATACGGTCTTTCTCTAATACAATACTCTTGACCACATTGTTTGGTTTGATAGTTTATTCATGTCTACTATCCAATGTGAGTCTTGTGCTTATATGATTACCTTGAATGTGATTTGGAACACATTCCTAAATCTCATTCATACTTTGGCCAAAGATTCTTAATCATATCATAGAGTATTCTCCCTCAAACAGTTTGAAGGTTAGAGATCCCTTGTTGCGCATTCACTTGCCTCCATGGCTAAGTGGCTTAACCCCAACGATGCCATGGACACCCTCCTGATGGAGTGACTTTGACATAATCAAAGATTAAGGACCTAACCACAAGACAACTGTGATGCCTCAGGTCAAAAGACTAATTTGCATTATCCCAACCATGAGTTCTCATGTGACATGAATATGAGAACTCTTCATTGATCGTGTTCAGTGAACTCATTCTCTATTGAGCACCTACGTACTTGTCTTGATGTCACACACACCAATGACTCGAGACTAGTCACTCTCCCTGAGAGAAGACATAGCACGTACTGATCTTAACGGACTGTCAATGCCCAATTGACAATCCTATGATCAGGAACGTTTAGGATGTGTCAACGAAAGAATGGTCTCATGAATCTAACTTCTTTAGATCGCATTCTTCCAATCACATATTCCTTGGACTTATCGTTTAAGCATATAACATTTATATGAGACGGCTCAAACAATAATCTTTGCCCTTTACATTTAAACTACATTAGTTTGAAATGTCCGTAAAGTATCATCATATGATTGGTTTCATGGCACATTTCCAACAAATTTCCGTATTCTTCTTCTTGGACAAAATTGTACCTACAAAACAATTAACACCTTAGGTCAAGGTTAAGAGCCTCACACGTCCACGATGAATGGGGGGGCCTTTGGCCGAAGAACCTCCGATGCCAAAGTTAGAATTTAGAGAGAAAAGTGTTTGGAGAGTTTTTTAGAGTTTTGGAGGATTGTGGAACTAGTCTTTCAAAGAAGATGGAGTCCTATTTATAGAGCATGGCCGGCCCTTAGATGTTTTTTGGGGTGTAATGATGATTAATTTGGTAATTAATGGATTAATTAGGAATTAATCCAATAATTAGACTAATTAATTTAATTTATATGGAAGGTTTTGAAGGTTATGGAATGATTTCCTTGTAGAGGATATGGAGTAAAGATGGATGAGATAAATTTGAACTTGTTACCTATTTTGGGCACTCTTGACTCGGTTGATGGATAATTCTCCACTGCTCACGTGTAGGAAACCCGGTGTGTCTCGAGGGTAATTTTGTCCTCTTTACCTAAAAATCTACGTGTCGCCTCTTGATTATTTTTGGTTCCACAATAAATCTTTTAACTTTTTATTTTCAAGATTTGTCAAAGAGTAAACTAGCAATTTTACTTCTTGAACTATGACATTTGTTGAAGGGGTTCAACTTAAGTTATATTCAAACGGTAAAATGACAATTTACTTCTTTTTAAAAACAATGGTAAACCAAATAACGTTAAAATTAGTTAAAATTCAATTTCGTAAAATCATGTAAGACTTAAAGTTCAATTCCACAAATCAATATACACTAAAAAGTGGAACCAAACAGCTTCCAAACCAGTTCAAGTTAGACCATTGCAAAAATACAATTAAACTACAAAGCTTCATCCAAAGAAAAATTAAAACGACAAAATCATTAATTTTCCAAATGAAAAATAGCCACAATCTTAAAGTATCATGTCAAAAGATATGCATCACTTATATATGTTTATATATTTTGAAGCGGGATGCATAATTTGTTCAAGGGAGAATTTGTGTCAGAAATCGTGTTGGACATATATGAGCAAGGCATCATCCTAACCAAACTTATTACTCAATTCTAACTTGTCTAAGTGGGTTTAAATCAGATTGAGTAAGGACGAATTTAGTTGATGTGACCGAAGTAGCACCTTTAAATATTTGTCTCTTAAATGTTAACAAAAAATTTGTTTGTATGCTCATGCACGATGATGAAAACCCAACTTTTCCTCTGAACTTGTATCCTAAGTTATATCTATAAATTGTGAGACTAACTAACTAAAAAATGCCTAAAGAAAAAAAAATATCAGACTAAGGTCCAAATCGAACAAACAAAACTGCACCACAATAATCGAGTTTGTACTGATTTCTCACCTTAATTTATTGAAATTTGAACAAAACCGGTTTGTTATTAGTAATTTACTTGCATGCAGTTTGAATTTCAAACCGGTCCAAATTAGACCGTGCCCACCTTTACGCCTCCTCTTATGAGTTACCTAACAAAATTGATAATCAAATGAATAATCTCCTTAAATCCGTAGAAATATTTCCCCTCCCTTGGAGGATGATCATTTGTTGGGGACAAACAATCAAAATTAGAGCTAATGGATTCCCATAGTGCAGTCTAGACAAATTAAAAAGCAATCGCAAACGTATTCACACAAAAATTCAATTCATCGACATATTAAACCGTATTTTGAGATGATGCACAAATAAAACCCCCCATCTATATATTATAGCCGGAGACAAATAAGCATGTGACAACACTGCCGGATAATTAGGGATAATATGAACAACAAAATTAAAGCAAATGCTTCCTTGTTGTGGTTGCCGTTCCCCCTCTAATCACATTACTTACAGAAAAGAAATCCAAAAAATATAAAAGAGGAAATACTGCCGACTTGAACGATGCAATGTGGTGTCATTGTCAAGCAAACAATATAAAATAAAATATTCAAATCCAAAAAAAAAATCAAGAGAATTTTAATGAAACATTTTTTGGTATTGTTTACTTTTAACGAAAATAACATTTTTACTCTAAAAAGTTACTTCTGATACTATTTACTGACAACATCTTTTTATCATTTTAATTAATATTTAAAGTTTTCAAATCATTTTTATTAATTTTTCTAAAAATCAAATGCCAAAAATATACCCTTTCTATTTTCTTATGAACGGAATCGACACCGTTTGACGGCAAAACGCGTGTCTAGAACCTCCAGAAAGTCAAAAAGGGGAATCCCATCTAGTCTTCCGACGTTCATTGACTCCGTTTCCTTGGTCGACTCATGCTAAAATGCGCTGGGGGCTGAGTTGGTGACGTGCCTTTTTATTACAAAGGCAACGGTGGAAAGAAATAAGCAAAATCTAATTTCCCTGCACTTTGCAAAACCAGAAAGATATCTCCCTCAATCCTGCTTTGCTCAAGCAATCCTCCTCTGACTTCTCTCAAAATTCTGCTTCTGCTTCTGCTTTCTGGGTTCAAATTCTGCTTCTGCGTTCTGGGTTCTGTCTGTTTTGTGCCACGTTTGAAGCTGAGGATCACAAATTTGGTGGAATATTTGAAGATTTAAGTCGGTGGAAAATGGTTCTGATTAAGGAATTGTATCCTTACTTTTATATTTTCGCTTAATTATGTTATCTGAATTATGGGTTTGAATTATTTACCATTTTATCTGTTTGCTGAGAAAATGCCATTTGAATTTCATTTATGTTGTTCTAGCGTAGATTTTTACTTGGGGTGATGGCAGATATTGGATTAAGACAAAACTGAGCAAATTAAGGGTGTTTAAATGTGTTAATCTGTTACAAATTAAGGGTTAGTTTGTGAATGAAGAACAATGAACAGGAAGTCAAAGTTCCAATCTTTTCTGTTATTCATGGGGGTTTATGTCCCTCGCAAAGCGGGAGCTTTGTTAGCTTGGGGCCGCCCTTATTCTTATTGTTCTTTGCGTATTTAGCTAATTAGAACTGAATGCTACTTAAAGATGTTATCTTTAATTTTTCTGGTAAATTTGTACGACTTTTGCAATACAAAAACTATGTCCCCTTTCTTTTGAGTTTTGAGGTTTCCTTAACTCTTGTCTTTTCAACTGGGGACTTGCGTGAAGTCGTATTGTCATGCCCGTGTCATTGGAAGAGGTAAATGTAGTTCAAGAGTTCATGATTCTGTGTTCTACTAAAATTTTAACGAAGCGATTAGTTTTGTTTAATTTTCATTTGTAAAAGAACTGTGGTGTGATTGTTAACCACATATTTGAATG